AAAGGAATCTCACCCCAAAAATAGCCTGTCACTGACTGCTGAAGCAGTGGATCCATATTCCCTCAGTCAGAGAAGACATCTGAGTCCCAAACCTTGCAACAGTCAAAAAATCATCATTGAGCTGGAAGGGACATTTACAGGACGTCTCATCCAACCCCCTGCAGTGAACAGGGACACTCACAGGTAGATCAGGTTGCTCAGCGCCCCATCCAGCCTGAACTTGAGTACCTCCAGGGATGGGGCATCCACCACCTCTCTGGGAACCTGCTTCAGCTTCTTGTAAACAGATTTTTTCTTATAACCAATCTAAATCTCCCCTTGTCCTGTTGTGAAACCAAAGCATAGGACATTACTGGCACTCTCTCTCCTTCAACTAGGTCAGCACTAAAGTACCCAGAGATGAGGTCAGATGGGGAAACATCTTGGGAGATCCTACAGCAAATTCTCAATATCCAGCAAAAGAGTAGTAGTAGCAGACTTGAGTTCAAGCCAGAGGTGTTCCTGGACTTGACTCAAACATACCACTAGATGGACAGAAAATTCTACAGGTAGAAACAGAGGCATCTACTTACAGAAGGAGCCTCCAGGAAGAGTCCACTAAGAATCTGTTCTGGATGTAACTACATCCTGTATTAAGCAGGAAGCACTACGTGCACAACTCCTGTTATAGTCTAGCCCTTCAGCAACAAAAGAACACAAAATTGGTGAGGGTATTTACTAGACATGTGCTGACATAAAAAGTTTTTAGGCTTTATTTTGAATTGTCAAGAAAGAGAGAAAAACTTAAATTCTTCTGATTCTTCAAACTGAAGAAGTATCATTTTTAAAACAGAAATAGCCAGCTATCAATTTTTTGAAGTTGCATTTAATATAAAATATCACTTTTTCCATTTCTCATGTACATATTCTTCAGAATGCAGGTATAGCCACGAGCGTGAAACTGCATTTCTGAAATGGCTATAGCTAGCAGGGAGACTTCTTGTAATAATTCACCCAGAACAAGTGCTGACACTTCACATCATATACATATTCCCCTCAGAGTCCAAGCCATTACTCTCATGCCCTTACTGATTAGTAGGAAGTACAAGATCTTTGTACCACTGAAGAGAATAAAAATTTTGCTGTTGATTTCAAGGGCAGGGGGGCTACACAACTTAATCTTAGATTTTTTTTTTCACTTGGTTTCAGCATATAATCCCTTACCAATTTTTTTTTTTCCTCCCTATCTACTTTCCACTGCTCTTATCCCTGGTTTTGCTCTCCAGAAGCCCAGATGTATGTAGCTGCCATGGCTCATTAACACTGCCATAACAAACACCCCTGTTCATCCATTATCTCCTGGACTGCAGGTACCCAGGTGCTGATTTCTTTCTGCAAGCCCAGCAGCTGCTACAGTGACATTTAGCAGCACAGACTATTGAGGTTTAACTCTCCACTTCCCCACCTATGTATATTTCTTCTCTTTTTCACTAGTCTTGTTTCATTCATGAATGCAAGAGTGCTGGGAAGAGCTGAGCAGCACCTCTTCAAGCCGGACTCCTCAAGCACAAAAACATTAACCTATTCACCTCACACATATCCTAATCCTAGTCCATAAAACCTACAAAACTAACTCTGTATTAGCATCTTTCATCTTCATTTTTTACAGCTTCCCCTGCTTCCCTTCATCACCTCATGCATTTTCTCCTCCAATTTCCACCAGTTTAGAGGCTGACATGCAGCTCCAAGGCACTCAGCCTCCTTACAAAGGAGGATCATGATTTCACTGCAAGAACTCTCTGCTCCAGACTCTGAGCTTCATCATTTGTGCTTGTGTGGCCACCTCTGACAGTAAGTTATCAGCTTCTCAGCAAAGTGATTTCATCGTTGCTATTCACCTATAGAGTCTGCTTATGGTTACCATAACGAAAGACTTCACAGTGGCAGAAACGGAAGAAACAGTCCGTCATCTCCTGACTGTAAGTAAACACAGTGTTTTTAAACAAGCAAAAGCAACCACTAGAAAATGATTAAAGATCATTATTAAATATTTTCAAAATATGTTTCTGCAAGTTTTTTCATTTGGCCTTTTGAGCAAAGACAGGCACTGCATATGCAGCTGGAAAAGGTTAAATGGGCGAACAACCCTACTGATCTCTTCACACAAAAAGGCCATCCACCTGCAGCACAAAAAATAGATGAAATATGGTCTCAGACTGGCATTAGTTTTGAAATCAGGACATTTGCTGGTTCAGCTTATGACAGTTTTAAAAATCTCCAAATAGCATTCTGCTTATCATATCTAAAGTGGGGGAAAAGAATGAAAAAATAATCTACCTAGTTCCCAAGGCACATATTTTATTTGCCTAGGAGATAATATTTCTATCCAAAACTCTTGGGACGGAGTTTTATTACATCATAAATGATGCTGCCAGTGTTTTGCACTTCTGATCATTTCAACATGGATCTAAAAAGCCATCTGGGTACATAGATCCCTCGTTCATCCTCCACCTTCAGTGTGAAACAGATACTTCAGTTTTTCCAAAACATGTCTTTTTTCTAATGATGAGCACTGAAATCAGTTTGTTTGCTTTCTGAGAATGAGATGCAGAATCTCCAGAGACCTGAGGCTATTATAACAAGAGGGATCCAGGTCAAGCTGCCCTGCAGATAACAGCTGTGACTATGCAGCACATACTTGCAAACATGCATGAATTTTTAAATTCTGGGGCTATGGAATTCCCAAGATTCCTAAAAGCTATCAGCATTCATGTGAGTGCATTGTAATGGCTCAGAAAATGCTCCCAGGCTTTTATATAACTATGAATTTCTGAGCAAATTCAGAAAGCCGAACATCTTCAAAAGAGAACTCCCAGGACAGACTAGAGATGGGAGAGGGCTGGGGGCATGGAAAGGAAGACTGGATACAGTCAAGTAACTTAAATCCAGAATCTATCTTTCCATCACTCCGTAGAGTTGCTCACATAAAGACCATTTTTTTTCTTTCCTATTTTGCTCTAACTAGATTGTCAAATGAACTTGCTAAAGAGACAAATTACTTTCTTATTGTAGCTATCATCCTGTGGCATCCTCTAATAATTGTGTTTACACCAAAATGCTCCAGACATTTAAATCAAGGTTTTTTGGTTGCTTTTTTTTTCCCCATCTTAATGCTGTCAAAACTTGAAGTAAGCTGTGCACTGCCTGTTAGCAGTACTCAGAACTACGTGGACATATTTCAGAAGGGCACCTTCCTGTGGCCGCTTGGATGCTACTGACTTAGGATTTATATGATTGGACTGAGCTTGCTACAAGGATAATATCTCTGAACACAAGGTGAAATACAAATGTAATTCAGTGTGATGAGATGCCTAACAGCCCATGGTAGTATCAATCACCTTCTATATATTACTATATTGAAATAATTAATCATCAACAGTGTCTGGTGTAAGCTCAGTAATGAAGACACTAATCCCATTTATGTTTAAATACTTTGATTATAGTCCCACAAAATACAAAGTTCAGCACAGTAAAGGACTTTATACTTGTAGTCCAATATCACAAATAAATGAATAGTTTATCAGACTGTTTTAAATTCAAGCAAATTATTGCCCTACACTTTAATTAACTACCCAGGCTTGTTTCTATTTTTCACTGGAACAGGAAATAACTGCAGCTGGTCTCACACTAAGGGTTGCTGTTATCTCCAAAGAGATGAGGACAATCAATATTCTAGGGAGGAGAGGTATTGAAACTGCCTTCTGAATAACTAATAGATCAATAATCATGTCAGAAAATGGGAGTTTTGCATTTGAAGGAACCGGAGGAGACCCCTGAGGAAGGAAACAAGTACAAACACATATCCTCTGACTTGGTTGTTTGTGACTGAAGCCAGCTTAAAAGGATTCTGCTCTCCTCTGAGCTTTACCCAAGCATGGTAAGCATATAGCTGGCTACACATACAGATCTTGTAGGATATGATTTTAGGGTGAGTATAAACTTGATTTTCCTTCTTTTTTTTTTTGTTAACAACTGAGACAGCAATTATAATCACATATTTCACTTGAATATTGGAAATAAATACATGGTATTGATTACCATGTATTTATTTCTTACTGAAATCCAACTTGTACTATGTGCAACTTCAGTACAACAATTAAATAAGAATGCTTCATCCTTTTGTGTGCAATAATCTTTAAACCTACAGTAAAGGATCCAGTCCAAGAGGTTACTGTAAGTTAAGAGGATGCCACTCCACTCAACTATAGAAAACATGTAATCTTTGTTAAGTTCACATGTAGGAAGAGTCCTCCAAAATGGCCCAATAAAGGTCTTTTCTTGCAGCTGGACAGCAGGGAGCCCCCGTATCCAAGTATTCACAAGGAAACAGGGAAGATGTGGGGCTACTACCAAGTGCTGCCTTCCCCCAAGCACACTGCTGCTCAGCATAGAGAACTGAAACTGGAGAGGTATGCAACAGAACAATCTAGACTTAAATGAGTGGATGGATGGATGCGAAAGTAGATGAATAAAAGAAAAGTGTGCAGTGTTGCCTATTTTCTGACCGTGAGCATGCACGCATTTTGATTTTTAAGAAGACTGCTGAAAGCTTTATCTAATGCAAGCAAATCCAAACAATACCCACATAACAATACAGGTGGTGAGGGAAAAAAAAAAAAAAAAAAATTGTATGAATATCAGAAGGTGTTTTTTTTTTTTTAAGAAAAAGCTACATAAATTGCACTTTCATGTAGGCACTATAAAATACAAACCAAATGCTGAGCACTTAGAAAATTATAGCTGCCTGAAGTGGGTATTGTTGTTTAAAAATCATAATAAGAGCTCCTTTTTTTTCCCTTTCTGTGCCACAGCTCTCTCAAGCTGGCGGGCCAGCAGGAGGATCACATGCTGGTAGGAAGGTGAATATTTTCACATTATGTAGCATTTTCATGATTCAGTAACCATCAATGCAAGAAACTCCAAGAAAATCACTCCCTTGCTGCTTCCACACACCCATTTACCTCTTTCAAGTCTTGGACAATAGCAGTGAGTCTCTCATTCTCTGCCTGAACGTTGGTGACCACCGCCTTGCTCTGCTTCAGCTCGTTCTGCATCTCCAAAATCTTCCCCAGGTAATAAGCCTCTTTTGATGCAGATTCCTGGAGTAGAGTCTCTTCTCGTGTTTCCCCATCTTCAGCTACTTTGCGGTGAATTGAGAAAGACTGTCCAAATGCCTACAAAAGGAAAACAGAGCACACTATTAAACTACTGCAGCTCTAAAAAAGTTGTCAACAGTAATGAACACCTGCACAGCCAGAGGGAACGAAATAGATTGGTGAGTCCCAAACTCTGACCTAATAAATACTGCCCTCACAGTTTCCTAGCAGCTGAGGGCTACCATCTCATTTAGCTGAATGAAGCATCTTGAAGCAGTTCTCATTTGCAGTATGGATTTATGGCCCCTATCCAGGCAGCCTCCACTGAGATCAAGATGGTGTACAGCTAACTAGCTGTTAATTACTGCCCATTTTAACTGTTCTAAATGAGGCCAACTGGTATTCGTCAATTCCTTTCTTCTCTCACTCTGCAAAATAAATCATGTTTTGTTTTAAAGAATCCAAACAACTTCAAGTCTTTCCAAATTTCTCAATCATTTTCCATCTTCTGTGTTCTTTTCTGAGAGTAGCTGACCTCATAATATGAATAAAAAGGCTTCCTATAACTTCATTAACCATATGGTCTAACTGGCAATTTCAGAAAATAAAACAAGGCATCTTATATCCCGGATCTAGCCCAACACAGGAAAAAGGTCTCTCATCTATCTTAACTCAAAGAAAGTGTATTTGCATTGAAAGACTTTTTTTTTTTCCAATGCAGGAGGTATTATGTCTCATAAGTCACTCTATTATCTTTTCATTCAGAGGAAAATTCTCCCTGAAAATCTAACTTCTGCCCAGATCCAGTCAATCATAATGTTTAGTACATGTTTGCACCTGCTGTACCCAGGGCCTCCTTTGCCTTCCCATCATTAAGATCTGCTTGCCAATGGAAATCATTGTTTTCTTGTTATTTATAGCCTTCAGAACTAAGTTTTACTGGCACTGCAGCAGCCCCTTAGAAACTTCAAAGCAAAACTGTTCAAAAAAACTTTCCTGCTATTTAGTCTACTTGGAGATTCCTGTGAACTCAGCATTAAAGGATTCTAAAAATATTCAATAATGTATTAACCCAGCTGTCTTCTCCAAAGACTGCAAGTGACTGAAATAGCAAGCATCAGCAATTTGCTGAATAGGATTTTCCCAATAACAAGAAATTGAATTTAATGAGACTGTTAAACACGGATTCAGTCACCCTGTCTGTAAACATAGGATGGCTTTCAGGAACACTGCTAATAAATTTTATCTTACAAAACATGATTATATTCAATGGCTCACTGTTCTTAATTTGAGACCTAAGCAAAAAGTTGCAGTATAATAGATACCCTATGGGACAAATGCAAAGGACATGCATCCAAGGGAAAAACCAAAGCACAGAACAGCAAGTAAGATTGCCAGGGCTGGAGAAGCTCGCAAAGAAATGGGAGTTGGAGGTTAAAAAAAAAAATGGATGAAAACCAGCAGACATCACTGATGACCGTTCAGGCACATACTACATTTTCCTCAAATTTAGTGAGGGAGTTCATTAGCATCCGTAATGTCTAAGAATGGTAAAGAATACGGATATTGGGGAAGGTGGCTGGATGTCTAGTTCTCAGAAATTCTACTTGTCTTTATTTTGGGCCATGTTCCATTTTGATTTGAAAAAATAAATAAAATCTTCTGCTCCATTTACTAAACAGCTCGGGGCACCAACAGAACTTAGGACAAGATTAGAACTTAGCAAAAGATTTAGTTAGACAACTATTTAACCACATTCTATACATGAAAATCAAAACATTTCTTTGGCATATGGTGTAGTAGTACTATGGACGCTTTCTTATTAGCATATAGAGCCTCAGAGAAATGGAAACACCAGTAACTAACCAGGCATTGCTCTACAATTCTCTTTTCCTGTAATCTTAAGAATAAACCTGTATTCCTAGAAGAAGGATAGGACAAATGACTGCCAAAAACACACGAGCTTCCCAGCAGATTAGCAAATACACAGTATTCCATTTGCTCAGTGTCAGAACTTTCTATTTGTTCTTTTACTTATGGTAAATCATTTGATTTGATCAACTGTTCTGCAAAATGTTTAAAAAGCAAGTATGAATCGAACTGACTCTGTTTTGTACTTCTGTGATGAACTTCAATGCTATAACACACTGTGTGCTATGCATTTGCTCTTACAAAGTACATTCTCACCCCACATCCTGAATCTTTGCCTCTGACAGACATGAACCTTACATAAAGAAGAAAGTGCAGTTGTAATACCAACACAGTGCATAAAAACATCACTGAATTCTCAACATTTTAAATGCAATTTACATTAGTTTAAGAGAAAACTACTGTGTACTTAATGCTTTAAAAAATCAAAGATTTTTCCTCTGAAACTCATATGGAACATTACTGCATATTATATTATCCAGTTTATTTATGAAATTGCTGTCAATATGTTAAAAGTTTGAGGATGAAAAGGAAGAAAGCACAGTTCTTTTTACATATCAATGGAAATTATGCAAATCCATGCAGCATGGAGAATAACGCAAGGTGTCTTTTAATTCAAATGCTGCTTCTGTTCTTCATGGTCTGTATACAATGACAAAAAGTTTAAACTTTCCCAGCATATCCATTTGTATACATCCACAAGATTCCTTCTTTTTAAGTTAAGCCAAAAACAATAGGGTTTTTTTGCACAGTTGCATATTTTTTGCATTTTTCAGCTAGTAGCCAGACATTTATTCTACTTTGATTTTTATATTTAAGTAATTTGTTTAATATGCTTACTAATTTATAAAACTTTATGGCCTTATTACGATACAGATATTTCTATTTACTGTGCATACTGACTTCACTGAAACCATCACAGAATATCCCAAGTTGGAAGGGACCCATAAGGATCATCAAGTCCAACTCCTCATCTGGTGGAATCCCTGCTTCTTCACAGTGTGAAAAGTTAGCCACCTTAAAAACTTTCCAAGTCAACAGCTTTCTAACAGAAACAACTGCCTTCCAAAGAGGACCAATTGCCAGACATGTGACAGCACACCTCACACATGAGAAGCCATAGAATGATTCAGGTTAGAAAAGACCACAAAGATCATCAAGTCCGACCACAACCTAACCATAATACCCTAACAGCCCTCCATGTCCCTGAGCACCACATCCACACGGATTTTAAACACATCCAGGGATGGTGACTCAACCACCTCCCTGGGGAGCCTATTCCAGTGCTTAACAACCTTTTCTGTAAAGAAATGTTTCCTGATATCCAACATAAACTTACCCTGGTGCAACTTGAGGCCGTTTCCTCTCATCCTGTCACCTGTCACCAGTGAGAAGAGACCAACCCCGCTCTTGCTGCAATCACCTTTAAGGTATTGGAAGAGAGCAATAATGTCTCCCCTCAGCCTCCCCTTCCCCAAACTAAACAGCCCCATTTCCTTCAGTCTCTCCTCATAGGGCATACTCTCCAAGCCCCTAACAAGCCTTACTGCCCTTCACTGGACCTGCTCCCGCACCTCCATGTCCCTTCTGTACTGAGGTGCCCAAAACCGAGCACAGTTTCAAGGTGAGACCTCACCAATGCCAAGTTCAGGGACAGGATTACTTCCCTAGTCCAGCTCACCACACCATTCCTGACACAAGCCAGGATGCTTGGTCTTCTTGGCCACCTGGGCACACTGCTGGCTCATATTCAGCCGACTGTCCATCAGTACACCAAGGTCCTTTTCATCAGGCAGCTTTCCAGGCATTCCTCCCCAAGCCTGTAGAGTTGCCTGAGGTTGTGGTGAGCAAAATGCAGGACCTGACACTTGGCCCTATTGAAACTCATACAGTTTACCTTGGCCCATCGACTCAGTCTATCCAGGTCCCTCTGTAGTGCCTTTCTCCTCTCAGGCAGATCAACACTCTCTCCCAACTTGGTGTCATCTGCAAACTTACTGAGGATGCACTCAATGCACTCAATCCCGTCATCAAGATCATTAATAAAGATGTTAAATAGAAGTAGCCCCAGTACCGAGCCTTGGGTGATACTGCTCATGACTGGCCGCCAACTAGATTTAATTCCATTGGCCACAACTCTCTGGGCCCAGCCATCCAGCATGAATGTAGCCTGAAGAGCCGACACAGCCACGGCAGTCTCCCACCATCACTATCAATACCTGGGCAGGTGTGGTGCCCAGCTAATTCATTCGTGTTGTTTCTGTTTGTTTTTGGACTGTAGTGCATGTCACAGATAGATTAATTGCTGTAGTAGTTGTTAGCACGGTGCTGTCTTGCTTGGTGTGACTCCTCATGAAAGCCACTTAGAAGCTACCAATAGTCCCTTGCTGGCTCTTAGTTTCATCAATCACAAGGCACATTTTTTGACAAAGCACATCATCACCTGAATTTGAACTGTGACTGGTCAAGGCTGTATAGATCTATGCATAAAACCCTTCATGGCTTCTTCCATTCCCTGGAGAACCTCTTCCCAGCACAGGCTCAACAACTGAAGTCAGCTACAAAGACTGAGGCACGCTTATTCTGACAAAGACTACCCTAACAGTCTGAATTTTATATCACACTACTCCCATCACAATTCTCAAGACTTTGCTTGAAAGGATGCCACTGACTGAGTTAGGAGATTCACTTATTTCAAGATCATCATAAAAGTTGAGTTACAAGATGCCATTAAACACTCCATTTTTACTCTTAGACCTGAAAGTTGTATTATGTAATTGTACTATGTGTATATGGAGAACTGAGACTTCTTAAAATTTGATCTTTGACAACTATGAAATGATGAGATTTAAGCAATGCTCAACATTTGAGTGCATTATAAAGGATAATGGCAGTGGATGTGCACAGGAAAGAGGTCAGTCTGATTCACAGAGAAAGGCCTGAGGAAAAGGTCATCTGTGACTGAACTCAGGACAATTCTAGATGGAAATTCCACTGACAGAAGCAAACTGGCATGAAATAAATAAAATGGGCACAGATTTATAAAAGGGCAATAGAAAAATCCAACTAATCAAAACACCATAGAGAATATTTACATCAAGTATAAACAGCAATAAATAGCTAGTATATAGTCAGTGAGATGAAATGAT